CAAAACACAAGAGACTCGTGACAGGGAGACCTTCCTCCCCTGTGTCATCCCTTAGCACACCTATTGGGCACATGGCAAGAAACCCTTGCGATGTCCTAATTTACGTCTGCCCTGCACACTGTGGAATCTTCGTATGATTTTAAACTGTCATTTTGTGGGGCACATTGGCGAAAATGATCCTGACAGCACTGGATATGTTTTCAAATGAGGGCTTGGTCGAATTCGGGTCTAGGGTTTGAAAATCAGCCTTGTTGAGCTTTAGATTCTTCACGGGTTCTAACTGTTCACCTCTGCGGCAACTTTAAAAACTGTCCGTGTTTTTACTGTGGACACTTTCCTGTGGATGTTCAAGGCAACCACCAATGTGTATGCCCAGCAAAAAAATCTGATATCTAACATCAGGCCACCCCTGAATTATTTTGCACAATTTTGTTTAAATCATTCTGGCTAGACATTTTTTGAGTAATTGAGGTGGTAATTTTATTTTAAATTGTTTCTCCTTTGTTTGGTTTTAACCTTTGATATAAGAGGTACTTTCTAAAATTTAAGGGTTTATTTCTGAAATTCAAAAAATTGTAGCATGTGTATTTCTCCTATGCATTTCTTCTTTTTTTTTGACCAAGAATTTAGGGGCAGGCTCCCCAACATCTGTGCAGCGTGTATCTTGGAACAGCTAATGCACTTGATTCATGGCAGATTAGTCCATGCTTTCAAGGTACCCACGTGTGAATCTTTCTCAAATGAAAGTCTGCTCACATTAAGAGTGCATCTTCTGATACTTTGCAGCCTGGATGCTTCTTGCAGTCTTCCCACTTGAAAATCTAAATGCATAGCCCAGACATATCTAGCAACAAGAAAGTTGGTGGCTGAGTTTTTTCAAAAAGAAGACTTAACGGATTTATTCCGGATTCCTCGTTGAATAAAGTTGATCGGAGTAGTTGCAATTCACACCTGGTCTATGTTGGGGGCGAGGGACTTGACTCATCACAGGTGCCACTACCTGGCCGAGAAGCAGAGCCCAAGTTCGCCCCTGGAAGAATCCCATTTCCTCTCGTGCGCTAGTCATTCACTCACTCAGAGAGTTTGTGGACCGGGTTGTGCCCTCCGTGCCAAGAGAAGCCAGTTCTCTGTCTTCATGGGTACAGACATTTTCTCTTTACATTTAGGGGGAGGAGACAATCAAAACCAAGCAAGATTTCAGAGCATACCGAGTGCTATAGGGATTTCAGAGAGTAAGTTGATATCATCCAGAGCCATTTGAGCTGAAACCTGAAGAATAAAAAGGAAGCAACTAAGGGAGTGTCCAGAGGAAGAAGTCTGCAGGCAGAGAAATCTGCAGTTGCCAAGAAGCACCATCAGGTGAAGGGTTGGCGGAGGAAGCAGGAGCAAGGAGGCTCAGGTGCTTTCAAGGAGGGCAGCAAGGTGAGAGCCGTAGGACAGAGAGGCGTGGCCACCTGGCGCACACTCCTGCACACCGTGCTGAGGGTCTGAGTTTTCTCACGAGGGCAGCAGACAAACATCGCAGGAGCTAAAACAGAGCAGCGTCTCCACCTAATACAGAGGGTAGTCCAGCAGCTCTTTGAAAAGCGGACTGGAGTCATTTAGCCACCCTAGTGACCAGTGAGAGGGACAGAAGTGATCTCTTGTGTCGGTCATTTACTCACTGGACTGATGGGGTTTGCTCATGACTCAGCTGTCTTGGGAGGGGAGAAGCTCCCTGTGGCCAGCCGGGCAGTGAGTGGTCAGGGACGAAATGGAAGTTCAGGTTGGAAGGGAAGATGTTTGGCCTTTGACCCGCAGTCACGGAGGCAGAGCGGACAGCAGGCCTTCCTCATTGTGTCTTGGCGTAATTGCGATCGTCGTCTTTTGCGAAATAAGTATTCATCAGCATAAACTTGCCGCTCACCCACTTCACCAAGATTCACACGTGAAGCAATCTGATTAAACGAATCATCAATGGAGAGAGACAGACAGACAGACACTCATTATACACCCAGATCAACCCCATTCTGACCGTCTTCTCTCTCTTGCTTCAGCCGCCAGTGGCAAACAGAAATCGCTTAAGTCAAGTGAGCAGTTTTAAATGTATAATATTAAAATGTGTTTTCAAAAACTCTCCAGACCCCTCAACCATTGTTCAAATATACTGATTTTTGATGGATGCTTGGGCACTTTTTTTTTTTAAATAAGGCTTTTCAATGCGCCACCTTATCCGGTGCACACGCTTTAGTCTGTTCCACAGAAGAAAGCAGACAAAAAGGGTCTCTCAGCACGAGTTACTCTTCTGTAAAGGTTATAGTAAACATGTCAATGTCTAATTAGGCAGAAAATTTTACCCGTATTGTGGGGGAGGCATTCGCTGTCTCCGACTTTTCTTCTGGGGAATCCATTCAGAAGGACAAAGTGGATTGCGACGTTGAGCTGGTCCGGAACACTCGGCTTCCGAACGTCAGCAGAAGGAAAGAACACCTCTCTTCTCCTTGTGCAAGAACATGACCGTGTTGGCTGGGCGTGTTGTGCGTCTGCGTAAACGCACCCGTATCTTTCATCGACACACGGACAGAATTACCAGGAGTGCTTTCCCTTCTCACTCGGTGTCAGGTTCTGTGCTAGACACTGGAAATACTGAGACGAGTGAAACTGAGCAACACCCTTAACCCAACGCGATGACGGAAAGCCCTCTTTTCTCCCCCACGTCTGTTCACGGCTGTGTGTCTGCACGTGCACGCACGTTTTCCCTTGTTGCTGTGATTGCGTTCCCCCGAGTATGGTGACAGTGTGGCCGCGCTGGGAACAGTGGTCCCAGCCAGTGTGTGTCGTCCCAGCGTGGGGGTGATAAAGCCCTTCGGATTCTCAGAAGTGACCCTGCTTGGTTGATAAAATGTGCCTGATTCTTTGAAGCGTTTTGCTTGGCTCCATAACCAATTCGTTTATCGACTTCATAACAGGCACTCTCCTTGAACTTCATGATAGGACTCCTTTCGCAAACATGTAAATCAGTCCAAGAACAAGGAAATGCACTGGGCATGAGGGGGGTGGTCCAGTTCAGTCATTCAGTATTTTAACCGGGTTTTTTCGCAAGTGGTGACCACTCGTTGATGGTTGTTTGACTAGATTGAGCAGCGTTTGCTGCTTGAAATGAGTTTGGGGAACTAGAAGCCAGCACACCTGTTTCGTGAAAACCCCCTCGTCGACTTTAGGAAAGCAGGCATGCACCGCCAATAGCAACCAAACACCAAACACAGCTGTGAGCCTGGTGGCTGGACTGAGTTGTTACATTTCTTCTTGTTTTATGGGATTCTGCCCTCCAAACCGAGAGCTCTGGCTTCCGGCATTCCCACAATTCCCCTCTTCAAGGTGGTTTTCCATTTAGTGACATTGCAGGGACATGCCGCTGCTGCACCTTTAACCTTGGGGTCCCTGCCATGTGTCCTTACTCGTTGGTTGGTAACAGAGAGTGGCGCCTCATGGTTAAGACCATGGGTCCTCTCATCCATTGGACTGGGTTCATGTCGGGACACCGTGAGACTAGGTGGGTGGCCTGGAGCACATTCCTTAACCGGAAAGCCTCCTCTTCCCCATCTGTGAAGTGAAAATGGTGATGGTTCCTATTTCGTGTGGGTAGTAGATGAATCAAGAGAATGTATTCACAGGGCAGGTAGCAGAATTCTTAGGAGAGAGTGATCACCCACTGAATATCCCTCTGCTGCAGCTGCTTGTCCCCTAACCGACCCCTCCCTCCTAACCCTTTGCTTACCAACGAGACACACCTCCCTTGGGTGATCATTCTTTTCCCATTCCCCGGTGAATGGCAATAATGCCATCACCCAGGGCATCTCCCAAGTGCCCACCTGCACTGAGGGGGAGAGAGAAGCTCGTAAGGGAAGCTTTGTACTGAGCTCACAAGGGCCTTGCAAATCTAAGGCCGAACCGCCCTTGTTTCTTTGGTTGCATTTTATCCACGAGGCTCTGAAAGTCCAGGTGAAGAAAATGAGCACATGGGCATAAATAGTCCCATTCCTCATCTCCATTGATGGATACTTGCCCATTAATTCCCTTTGCACCGCTCTCTCGTGCCTTCATTTTCCCTATGCAATTACTGGTCCTAAATCCTTTCAGAGAGGGGAAAGCACACGTCCCCAGTAGCATTTTGCATCTACAAATCAAACGTATAATTGACACCTCGTGACGGGTTCCCCACAAATCACAGTGCATTTGAAATTACAGGCACAAGATCCAGGGGGAATTTTCAGCCTTGTCTGTGAAGGTCTTCACGAACCTGTTTGAGAAGAACACGATAGTCCCCAAATCTCCCACTCGGACACCATTTGCTATTATTTTTAAATCATTACATTTGCTGAGCTTACATAATTTGGGGCTATCAGTGGAAGATCTTATGCAAGACCTCATAATTTCCCTTCCTGCTGTATAACACCCCACAAACAGAAACGCTGTAACACAAAGATGCTGGCTATCAACATTGTAAGGGCTGTGCATCTGAATTACTTGTGAGACCTCATAAGTGACTTACTAGGACGATGATACGCCAGCATAGCCAGGTGTCTCAGTAAAGCTCACCGTGGAGATGCTAAGGGTAAAGTCTTAGTTTTCTTATGAGCCCATGGCCTTCTCTGTAGAGAAATGTCTTTAATAGGATTTGAATTTTAGTCCAGCTTTTCTGAAAGCCATGTGCATGAATGTAGTGATTGTCCCATTATAGGAGTATTAGAATACTCATCCTTAAACATGAGCATTTTTAACTTGGCCTTCTCAGCATGTGTAAAGAATTATGACTGCTGCCAATTAAAAAGCAGAGGGCATCAGGAAGCACAAAAGACATCATTTGGCCTTTCCCTGTATCCATTGCTGGCATTTCATAAAAGTGTAGACTGAATTGCTGCTCTTCGGTGGGATATGGAAAGCATTTAGTCCAAGTGGAGAAATCGGGACGGAATACGTGACCTGGTATCGCCATTTCATCTCTTCTTCTTGTCTTGCAGGCTACGCCCAGGAGGAACAGCTGAAGGACGAGGAGGAGATAAAAGAAGAAGAGGAGGAGGAGGAAGACAGTGGTTCCGTGGTCCACCTTCAGAGCAGCAATGACCCCGGGACAGACGAAGAACTAGACACGGGTCCGGAGCAGAAAGGCTGCTTCAGCTACCAGAACTCCCCAGGGAGCCACCTGTCCAATCAGGACGCGGAGAACGAGTCTCTGCTGAGCGACGCCAGCGACCCCGTGTCAGACATCAAGAGCATGTGCGGCCGGGATGCCTTTGACAAGAAGGCAAGCGCTCGGCCCAAGGTCCCAAGCGAAGCCCACAACTGCATGGACAGAATGACAGCTGTCTACGCCAACATCTTGTCCGATTCCTACTGGTCAGGCCTGGGTCTGGGCTTCAAGCTGTCCAACAGCGACAGGCGGAACTGTGACACCCGCAATGGCAGCAGCAAGACGGATTTCGACTGGCACCAAGACGCGCTGTCCAAAAGCCTGCAGCAGAACCTGCCTTCCCGATCCGTGTCGAAGCCCAGCCTGTTCAGCTCAGTCCAGCTGTACCGGCAGAGCAGTAAGATGTGTGGGACCGTCTTCACCGGGGCCAGCAGGTTCCGGTGCCGCCAGTGCAGCGCCGCCTATGACACCTTGGTGGAGTTGACTGTGCACATGAACGAGACGGGCCACTATCAAGATGACAACCGCAAAAAGGACAAGCTTCGACCCATGAGCTATTCAAAGCCCCGCAAACGGGCCTTCCAAGATATGGACAAAGAGGATGCTCAGAAGGTTCTGAAATGCATGTTCTGTGGCGACTCCTTCGACTCCCTCCAAGATTTGAGCGTCCACATGATAAAAACAAAACATTACCAAAAAGTGCCTTTGAAGGAGCCGGTACCAACCATTTCGTCGAAAGTCGTCACTCCAGCAAAGAAACGTGTCTTCGATGTCAACCGGCCGTGCTCCCCCGATTCCACCACAGGGTCGTTCGCGGACTCGTTTTCCTCTCCGAAGGGCGCCAGCTTGCCGCTGTCCTCCAACAACCGCTACGGCTACCAGAACGGCGCCAGCTACACCTGGCAGTTCGAGGCCTGCAAGTCCCAGATCCTGAAGTGCATGGAGTGCGGCAGCTCCCACGACACCCTGCAGCAGCTCACCACCCACATGATGGTCACGGGTCACTTTCTCAAGGTCACCAGCTCTGCCTCCAAGAAAGGGAAGCAGCTGGTGTTAGACCCGCTCGCCGTGGAGAAAATGCAGTCCCTGTCGGACGCCCCCAACAGCGAGGCTCTGGCTCCCAAGCCGACGAGTCACTCAGCTTCCGACTGTACAGCTTCCACCACTGAGATAAAGAAGGAGAGTAAAAAAGAGAAGCCAGATGAGATCGACAAGCACGAGAAAGCTGTGAAAAGCGAGGACTTTGAAGACCCTCTACAAAAACCTTTAGACCCTACAATAAAATACCAGTATCTGAGGGAGGAGGACTTGGAAGACGGCTCAAAGGGTGGCGGGGACATTTTGAAGTCCTTGGAAAATACTGTCACCACAGCCATCAACAAGGCCCAGAACGGGGCTCCCAGCTGGAGCGCGTACCCCAGCATCCACGCAGCCTACCAGCTGTCGGAGGGCACCAAGCCTTCCTTGCCTCTGGTGGGGTCGCAGGTACTGCAGATTCGACCCAATCTGGCCAACAAGTTGAGGCCGATTGCACCCAAGTGGAAAGTAATGCCGCTGGTGTCCGTGCCCACAAACCTGGCCCCGTACACTCAAGTGAAGAAGGAACCAGAAGACAGAGATGAAATGGCAAAGGACTGTGGGAAGGAGAGTCCCCAGGAGGAGGCGCCCTCTTTCAGCCACGGTGAGGGGGAGTCTTTCCCCAACAGTGAAACCCCTTCCGAATCCAAAAAGGCTGAGCCTTGTGCCCCGAAGGAGGAGGACAAGCTGGTGAAAGAGGGCGGTGAGAAAGAGAAACTCCAGCCCTTGGAGGCAGCGTCTTCCCTCAGCAACGGGTGCGCCCTGGCCAGCCCCGCCTCGGCCCTGCCCTGCATCAACCCGCTCAGCGCCCTGCAGTCAGTCCTGAACAATCACCTGGGCAAAGCCACGGAACCCTTGCGCTCCCCGTCTTGCTCCAGCCCGAGCTCAAGCACAATCTCCATGTTCCACAAGTCGAATCTCAGTGTCATGGACAAGCCGGTGTTGAGTCCTGCCACCACGAGACCAGCCAGCGTGTCCAGGCGTTACCTGTTCGAGAACAATGACCAACCCATCGACCTGACCAAGTCCAAAAGCAAGAAAGCCGAGTCCTCGCAAGCACAATCCTGCACGTCCCCGCCTCAGAAGCACGCTCTGTCTGACATCGCCGACATGGTCAAGGTCCTCCCCAAAGCCACCACCCCAAAGCCCGCTGCTTCCTCCAGGGTCCCTCCCATGAAGCTGGAAATGGACGTCAGGCGCTTTGAGGATGTCTCCAGCGAAGTCTCGACTTTGCATAAAAGAAAAGGCCGGCAGTCCAACTGGAACCCTCAGCACCTGCTGATCCTGCAAGCTCAGTTTGCCTCGAGCCTCTTCCAGACGTCGGAGGGCAAATACCTTCTGTCCGACCTGGGCCCCCAAGAGCGCATGCAAATCTCCAAGTTTACGGGACTCTCGATGACCACTATCAGCCACTGGCTGGCGAACGTCAAGTACCAGCTTAGGAAAACGGGCGGGACAAAATTCCTGAAAAACATGGACAAAGGACACCCGATCTTTTACTGTAGTGACTGTGCCTCCCAGTTCAGAACCCCGTCTACCTACATCAGCCACTTAGAGTCTCACCTAGGTTTCCAAATGAAGGACATGACCCGCATGGCCGTGGATCAGCAAGGCAAGGTGGACCAAGAGCTCTCCCGGGTGTCGTCGGCTCAGAGGTCTCCGGAAACCATAGCTGGCGAAGAGGACACAGACTCTAAATTCAAGTGTAAGTTGTGCTCTCGGACATTTGTGAGCAAACATGCAGTAAAACTCCACCTAAGCAAAACGCACAGCAAGTCACCCGAACACCATTCTCAGTTTGTAACAGACGTGGACGAAGAATAGCTCTGCAGGTATGGGTTTGCTCCCAGGTGGTTGTGACGGTGGCCTTGTGAGGAGTCTCTTGAAGGGAGATGGGTCTGTTTAGCGGCAGCTAACTTCTCCCCGTCCCAAGAGGCCAGTAGCCTGCTGGAATAGGACTTATTTTTACGAAGACTAGAGCATGGTAAATAAGTCCTATCCATTCTCGAGATTTTTTCCAGTGCAGACTTGGGCAATAGAATGGCTTTAGAGAGACGGAGTTCACAGATCACTGGATTGTGATACGGGGCCCCTTAGTTGTCTGAAGCCCAGCTTGCAAGACCCAGCCAAGGCTATGCAGCATTTTACTTAATATGTACTAACTTCTCTCAGTCCCATCCCATCCCTCGCCTCCCCATAGCAATGCTAATGACTTAGAAAGCGATAAAGCAAAAGCCATCAGCCGCATCAAGACTGTAGAGTTCCTGGGGGCAGCCGCCGCACAGAGATTTCTTAGTTTGTGAATAGTTTAAAGTTGTCTTCATCATCATTCCTGGTAACCAATGCTTTTTGCAGCTTACCGCCGGTACCCGCTCCCTTCCTCTCCCTGCCCTTGGCTCTTTTCCTCCGTTAGGTTGCCTAAGAAAGAGCTTCTGCCCTGTATTCAGATGGTAGGAACACTCTCCTACCTGCAGACACTGAGATGAAAAGAGAGGAGGATTGCTTCCTTCTCTCCTCCTGCAGCTTTCTTTAGCCTAGGCTAATGCCAGAGTCCGCCGAGGCACGGACTCGAGGTTTTCTCTGACATAAAGAAACAAAAGACTTTCTGCAGCCCCATTGCCAGCGCACGTGGGGTCTCACCACTTCAAGATAATTTGCATTGTGGGCCACAGAAGTTCTGTGCCCCGTAGCGTCACCAGTGCCCAGACTAGCGATGTCATCTCCAGGAAAGCTTACAGAGACTGAGGTCACATGCCTTGGCAGACGACACTGGCCACTTTCAAATGCTTTCCAGGCTGGGTCTTAACAAATCCCTTCATTTTCATTTTGTATTTTCCCTACTGTCTTTTCTCTTGCCGCCCTCGCCCAGCACAATACACATCCCCCCATGTGCTAGGGACCCTCACCCCTATTCAGGGCGCCTTCTACCATGGGCCAGACCCCAAGACGAGGACCCAAGTGGACCCAAAGCTTTGGCACTCGCCAGGCCAGTTTGTGTCATGCCAGGTGACAGATTAGCTCTTCTGATTAATTCACAGACAAGATCTGAAGGCCTCGCCGTCTCCCCTGGTCCGAGTGTTTGTCTCGCCATAGGCGACTTGGCAGAGCGAGTTACAGCGCTCTGAGCACTAGCAGGCGTCCAGGTGGAGAGAGGTGTTTACATCACTTGGCTTTGGGCTCCCCTCCCCACGGGGAGGGAGCTGCCTGAGTATGAGGATGGTCCAAGTGAAAGAAAGGGTTAGCACGTCTGATCTGGGACTTTCGGTGAAAAGATCTAAGAGCTTCTGATACAGGGGGACACCATCTGGCCATTCTAATGGCTCTCTGGGCTCCAATGAAGACTATTGTTCTGTTTGCATGTTTTTATCACAATAAGTAAAACGTGTCACTGCAGAGTCTTCTGTTGCTTTCCAAGCATGGTTTGTTGAGCTCACACTATGGAAAAAAAAAAAGCTGAAATGCACCTACTGAGACTACACGTGAGCATGAGGCTCGGCCAATCTATTTATTTGCTCTATAACATTTTAAATTTTATGTAACTTGCTATTATGCTTTTCTGGTCCTTCAAAAAAAAATGGTGAATATACACAGACTATCCAAAGAGACGAGAGATGTTTCCCACCCTGTAGTAGTAGGTTCAAACCATGGTGAAGAGGACAAGTAGGTAATGTTTATTTGTGCTATAATAAAGACCAATTTTCCACCTGATAGGTTTGTAATCATTTTTTTAAAAAAAAAATTAGTGTCACTGCCGAAACAGTGCAATGGGTAAACAGAGAAAGGGGAAGAAAAGGAAGCTGTAGTCAAAAGCTGAAATGTACATCCCTGTTCTAGGGAAACAAAGGTAAAGCAGTAATTTGGGGACGACCTACACAAAAGGCGCTCACCCATCTGTGCAATACGTGGATGGGAGAGCACCTTTCCTCCTCTCTCTGCACCTGTTCAGGGATCAGTATGTCCAACGTGGACCTCTGCAGCTCCACTTCTACAGAGTTGTTATGTGAAATCAGAGCTCCATCCTGACATAACCCCTACGGTTCTGTGATGCTGAGGGAGGGCTGCAGGGGAACAGGTGTGCGTACCTGGGGCTCATTTAAAGCGATGGGAGTGCCCTATGCTGTGTGTACATGAGGCTGCCGCCGTGTGTGGTGTGCTCAGGAGGTCCCGACGCCGCTCCGGTCTGCCGGCACGGTGCCCACGTTGGCATGGAGGTCGCTTTCTGTTGCTTTGGTTGCCTGGAAAAGAATCGTTGCACCCTTGGGTCCTCTTTCAGAACAATGTTGATGCCATCCCTTGCCCACTGCTTAGAACTCTGCAGACGTGGTTTTAAATGATCACAAAAATGAGATCACTGTTATCTGGAGCTCTAATCTTAGCTGCTGTGCATGACCGTACAGATGGTACTAAATGACGTGACGTCTTGGAAAGCATGATCAAGGTTTTACGCAAAATTCGGGGGCTTTACCGTATCTATATTCTCTGTAAAATGCCATTTTGACCTGATTTTTTCCCCCTTTCTTAGGTATGTCTTAAATCCTGCAATATTCCTTTTCAAATATTAAATATAACTTTCTCTTAAACAATAATTATCAAATGTTGAACATGCTCTCCTATTTTAGAAGGGAAGTAATCTGAAACAGTCTCCGTGGGTATTTGTATACACCTTTAAAACCACATGCTCTTGAATAATAGAAATTAAACAAAGAGCAAATCAATGAGTCTGAAGGGCATAAGGACTTGAAATTATAGTCACTGCAATGTAATACAGCATATAAGTTGAGGAGCACATTTAGCCTTGAAATTGGAGGTGTAAATGAATTCCAGTCCAGGATGCTGCCACCTTTGTTATGGGTGATTTTATAAAGATCCATGTTCATAGTGAACAGCATGTAAGGTTTCCAGATAAAATACAGCGTGTCCAGTGAAATTTGAATTTCAGATGAATGAAAAATGAGCTTTTAGTATAAGTATGTTCCCAATGTTATAGTGGTCACATTTATACTAAATGTGTATATGTGTGCGTGTATTCATTATTTATATGAGATTCAAATGGAAGTGGGCATTCTGTATTATTTGCTAAATCTGGCAATCCTAACGACATAGATTATATGCAATCTGGAAGAGCAAAATGGGTTGGTCTAATTTTCTTTAATTACAGTTGCTATATAGTATGATATGAATTTTAGGTGTTCCACATACTCATTAGACACACATAATTTACAAAGTGATTACCTCCATAAGTCTGTCACCCACCTGACACCATATGAAGTTATTACAATATTATTGACTATATTCCTTATACTATACTTTACATCCCCATGACTGTTTCTATAACTGGAAATTTATATTATTAATCCCTTCACCTTTTTCACCCATGCCCCCAACCTTACCCCAATCTGACAACTACCAATGTGTTCTCTATCTCTATGAGCATATTTCTGTTTCTTTGTTCATTTATTTCAGTCTTTTATATTTCACATATAAGGAAATCATATGGCATTTGTCTTTGTCTGGCTTATTCGACTTAGCACAGTACCGCCTACGTCCATCCATGCGGTCATATGGCATGATTTCATCTTTTTTATGGCTGACTAATATTCCACTGTATACATGTACTACATGTGTTTTATCCACTTGTCTATTGATGGCCCCCTAGGCTGCTTCCATATCTTGGCTATTGCAACTAACACTGCAATGAACATAGGGGAGCATGGGCCTTTTTCAGTTAGTGTTTTGGATTTCTTCAGATGAGTACCAAGAAGTGGAATTGCTGGGTCATAAGGCCGTTCTACTTTTAATTTTTTGAGGACCCTCTGGACTGCTCCCCACAGTGGCTGCACCAGTTGACACTCCCACCGACAGTGCACAAGGGTTCCCTTTTCTTCACGTCCTTGCTAACACTCGTTTGTTGATTTATGGTTGACATGGGCTGGCCTAATCGATGTCTATGAGAGGCATTGACCATTCCTTCTTCCATTAAATAAATCTCCCAATCCTTCCTCCCTTCCCGACCTCCTGACTGCCCTCCCTGGGTTCCTTTCATCCTTTGCATCACACCTGTGGTGCTTTTCTGTGCACAGTCAGCCTTGCTTTAACAACGGACCTACAACAGTGAACCGGCAGATGAGCTGATTATATAACAGCCGAGGGTGCCAGGCCTACCACGGGCGCTTCACAGACGTGATTTCACTTTATTCTCACAAGCAGCCCTGTGAGTAGAAGTGGCGTCAGCCACACTGCAGGAGGGGGGATGGAGGCAGAGAGCTCCTGCGTGCATTTCCCGTGTCCACACCCTCTGAGCCTCACTTGGTCATCGCCCCCTGCCTAGACAGCCATCACTCCAGGCCAAGCACTGAGCTAGTCCTGGGGATGAACCAGTGACCAGGACAGGAGTGCAGCTTTAAGGCTAATGACAGACACAGATGGCCAGGTGGGGGTCAACAGTGACTGGAGCCCCTGGGGAGGCCTGCTGCCCAGTCCCGGGGGAAGCCCGGGTGGCATGGTGCTGCGGGGGCAGCGTGACGTGAGGGGAAGATCTCTGGCTGCCCAGCCCTCGAGCCTGAGTTAGAACCCCAACTCTTGTGTTCTCGCTTCTGTATCTATAAACTGGAAAGGTAGGATTGTTGTGAGAAAGTAAATACGTGCAATTCTTTTCCATAAGGCCTGGCATATAGTAGGCTCACGAGAAAAGTTTATTCTAGACTATCTCTACGGGGATATCCCTGGCGTTCTCCAGCCGCCCCTGAAGAATGTAAAACTTGCAGCCTTCCCAGCGGACCGATGCCTAGGCAGGCGCCTTCCCCACCAGCCCGTGGTTTGATGGCCACAATAGCAACAGCAGCAAAACTAGCATGTACTGGGCTCTTCCTGTGAGCCGGACATGGTTATTCTTCTCATCCTCAGTTTTGCAAACAGCTCAGAGTATTGTATGATCTGTCTGAGAACACACAGGTGGGATTTGACCTCAGGCCACCCTATACTCACCAACTTTCCTTACCCCCTCAGTGTCTCCTCCAGCTTACCCGAGGGTTTCTGGGTGCTACTCAGGCAAGGGCTCGGAGGCTGATTCGCGACCAAATATTGCGAGTCAGGGGCCTGGGATGGACCTGCAGGCGGAAGCTAAGCAGCCCCACTCCCCGCATGGTAGTGTCCTGTTTGGTAGGGCAGTTACGCGTTTACCACGTGGAGTCCGACCAAGAACTGGTCCAAATTGCAGTGAACGCGTATATCTAAGAATTTTTTAAAGCCTCATCCCGACTTTCTGGAGTTCATTATTGGGTAGCAACATGAGACTCGGGAAACAAGGTCAGCTCCGAGACGGCCGCATTTCCGACGCAGCGAGGTACAAACGCGCCGTCTCTGCGAACGTTGTCATTTTACCAAGCGGCAGGCTTCACTCTCCTTGCGCATGAGTGCGCTCCGCCCCCCTGGCGCTGCCCCCCTCGTTTGGACTTCTGAATGCTCAATCCTGACGTGTATAATTTGGTGCTTTAATATAGAGTAACATTATTTTTCATTTACTCCAATCTGCCATCAGTATCATCTTTTCATTTAACCAGATGCAATTCTTTTTTCTTTCACTAAATTGAAAATCCATGAGCGACAGGGAGTGCGATGTTTTAATTAGCTCATATTTTTTATATGGATTTATGTCTTTAAAATACATTTGTGTAATTCTTCAGCTAAATTAAAAACGTCTTTCTGTGAAAGTGAGGAGGGGAAAATAAAGAGCTAAATGGTGTCATTAACTTAGGTAGATGCAGATGGAGGACAAGGCCCAGGGGAGCGACACCCACACCCCCCGGAACCCTGGCCCGAGCTGATTTTGAACTTGCCCTTCATTTAAAGAAGTCTTTCTCTAGAACAATTTCTCAAAAATGGCCTCAGGAGGGATTTTTTTCTAAGGCCCCTAGTAAATAAGCAAGCAGTTACCTTCAACGAACTAATTTGAAACTGAACCCGCCACTGAACAAAACAGGGGGGGGAGGGGAGTCGTAATGATAAACAGTTTTCTCCTGCATTTCTCTCTTTGTCTTTTTTCTTTAACTATCAAGTGTAAAGCTCTCCGCCGCGCTTCTTCTCTGCGTTATAGGAGACAAGTGACATTCTGTGGTAAATGGGGGGGAAAACCATGCAGAACTGAAATCTCTCCGGCATTGACACCAACTTGCCCTCTATTGTTGGAAATGAGCAGGAGCTCATGATTGCTCATCAGACGGCCCCTAATGCAGTTAAAGCATTCAGCTATAATTTCTCCTTGCATTTATAATTACTGTCATAGACTGCACACCTCGGTGAGCAGATTAAAGCTATAAACTATTTAGCCGCGGCTCTCAGACGAGGAACTTGATTTGTCTGGCAGGAGTTATTTGTTAGGGAGCTTGACACTTCACATAAAAATGACTCAACTTGATGAAGAACAATGCGGTTTTAGCAATGCAGGGATTTTAAATCAGCCCCGACGCCACGCCCTGCAAGCATCACGGGGCAGTCTGTGAAACGATGGGTGGGCCACGGGGATGACGGGAAGGAGGCGCTCAGGGCACCAGGACAGGCGACGCCTGGGACGCAGCAGCTGGCTTTCCCCTGCCTCTTCCTCTGGAGGACCAGGAGCTGGTTGAAAACCAGTGCATGTCACGTTCTCCCGTGACATTTGGTGTGAGTGTAACAGGAAGCTCACCTGTCAGGGAATAGGGATGCCACCAGCCGAAGGCACGTGTCACATTCGGGAAGCGGGTGGGGGTCTCTGAGAATCTGTGCCGTTGTTGACAGCCCTCACCTCCCCAGGCCCAGGAAGGCCAGGACCATTGGAGAGCGGCATCCGTCCATGCTTTTTCCTGAACGCTCTTCATTTCTTTGTTTATTTCTTTGTGTTTTACTTGCAAGGGGGATGGATGGAGTATATTTAGGCGTGGAGGACATTTTTCCTGGGCTGGTCTGCTAGTGCCGCTGTGAGAACTCACAAAGATG